TAAATGATTTTTTTTTATACAAATGAACAAATCAAATGTCAAATTACTTACCAAGTAAGCATAAGATGGCCACGTTTCGCCACACGAGCAGTCTCCGAGCAGCAGTTAACGGCAGTTAACGGCAATTAGTGGCCATTAAGTTGGCTGTGAGAGCAAGGGTTGAATTGTTTTGATTGCATAGTTCAGGGGCTTATATGCATCATTAAAGTTTGGGGGCTTAATAGCGATTCTGGGGTTAGTTCAGGGGCTTGACTTATGGTTTTGCCTAAAATGAATAGTACTATGACTTTGCCTCAAGCATTTTTCAAACATAAAACATTAAAAAAAATGAAACACAAAAAAAAGTTTCTTATTTTACAGTCGGTACTGTTATAAATTGTAAAACAAGAACTCTCGAATGGGGAGAAAGCCCCATGATATAATCCAGAACCGTCGGATGGGGAGAAGGCCCCCAATATCAGGGCCCTTCTGATGGACAGTAAAACACTTTTTCATTAAAAAAATACCTTTCATTTAGGAAACATAATTCAAATGTACAGTGTCTTTGAATGATCAAATACCTTAAGAACACCCCAAAGAGAACCCATTTATATTGCCTCTTGCTGCAGTAACCCTTCTATGGCGTTCCCTTGATGCATGAAGCAAGTTAAGATTACTACATAATAACCAATTGAAATATTTGTGTCAAAGTGTATACAAATGATTGTCAACTTCTATATCAGGCATGAAAATTATCTTTGAGGCTGGCCAACTTACCATTCAATTAGATGCCTTCCAAGACAATGTTACGAATATCCACTGTGGGTTTGCTCCTCGCATCCTCACTGCATATAAGATTTCTACTACATGAGCAGGGAAGTAATCTTAATTGAGTCAGTTGTTATCTAAGTTTGTCAAAATCAAACACTAAAACAAAGTCTTTCCTGTTGTTTGCGGCCCAAAAAAAATAATAATAATAATAAACAAAGTCTTTCCAAAAGGTTGTCTATCAGACATTATTCAACTGATTAATCAATATCTCTCTTGTAAGGAATAAGAAATAAATCGGTACATGCTAAGCAGCTCAGAGGATATGCCTTTTAAATAAATTATAAGTTGTACAAAATTTGGCTCAATTTCTTACCTGCAATAATTTTCCTTCAATCAATGCAAGAGAGATACAAGGTATCTTTCCTATTGATTAATTGAGCACATCCAAGAACACCCTGTATTATCCAAAAAAAAAAAAAAATCAAAAGAAGCAAGTTTTACTGTACGACCTCACTCAAATTCCAATGGTAATTAAGACTCATAGAAAACTAGAAAGCATACCAGAATGAGTTTCCCTGGGTGAAGCTACTTTTCTACTATTCCTCGTCCATTGCCTAAATGAGGATCTGTTAGGTGTTTAAAACATAAACATATAAGCTGAGATACAGACAGACAAAATAGTTGAATTATGTTTGAGAAGTCTCTGCTTCACAACATGTTTTGTCTATAAATCTGAAGTAAAATGGATCTTAGTTCCTAATGCAATGGATAATTTTCAATAATACTAAGTTAATTGCAAAGAACACAACTATAATTCACAAAGTTAATTACCTAAACCTTGAAGCTAATAGGTTCTTGTTGTTGGAGTTCATTTCTCAATTCTATAAATCCTCCTTCCAATCAACGGATTACTTATTCTTCAGCTACATCAAGTAATAGAAATGGCATAAGATAAAAAAAAAAAAGAAAAAGAAAAAGAAAAAAAAAAGTAAAAAGATAAAGAAAACTTGTAATTAATATGTAAAAACATGAAGTTAAATAATTTTCATGTGATAACATGATGTTCATAGAGATTGATAAGTTGACAGAAAGCATAGAATAAAGATAGAATTAGTTGTTATTGTTATTTGTTTATTTGTTCCTTGGCTGAAGGGGAGAATGAGTTGTTGGAATTCATAAATTTCCAAGTGTGTAATTACAAGAAAAATAAAATAGGAGTTGAGCTTTCAGAGATGAGACATACCGTTTGCCTGTCGGAAACCTGAATCTTATCATTATATGTAGTCTCCAGTTTTTATTCTGATGGTTGGAATGTGAGAAATCTTGTACCACTCGGAACCACTTTCCTTGCCACATCGTTTTTGTAATTCTGGGCAAACCCAAATGTCAAGGTATTTCAATTTGGAGAGGCATCGAATGGCTTCTACAGAAGGGAGGTGTTTCAGATTCTTGCAGTGATCGATGTGCAGGTCTTGAAGAGATGACAAGTTTCCCAACCACTCTGGCAAAGCTTCAACTCCATGGAAATCATGTATATACAACTCCCTTAGAGTTATGAGGTGTTGAATTTGATGTGGCAACTGAGTTAGCTTTTCCCAACCATATAATTCCAATTTTTCAAGGGAAGTGCTGAGGTGGTGAATCAAACTCAGACTTGGGAATTCGTCCAACTCTTCTGAGAAATGACCAATCCATAATCTCTTCAAGCGAGCAAGACAGCCGAGGGTCTCCTCTAGTTTAGTAGAGACCAAATTATGACATCTGCGTACAACAAGCTCCTCAAGAGTAGTGAAGAACGACAGCCTAGTAGGTAGATATTTTAATCGAAGGCATCCCAAAATAGATAGTGATTTAAGAGAGGATAAGTTTCCTAACCACTTTGGTAATGTCTCCACTTCGTTGAAATATGATATTGACAAGCTTTTTAGGGCAGAAAGGTTTAGGTTTTGAATTAGATGTGGCAACTCAGTTAGTTCTCCCCATCCAATCAACTTTAACTCTTCAAGGGAGGCTTGGGGGCTGTGGATGGAACTGAGAACAGGGAATTCCTCCAACTCTTTTGAGAAATCACCAATACCCAATCTCTTCAAGCTAGTAAGGGAATTGAGAGTATTTTCTGGGAAGTTCCTCAAATTTGAACATGATTCAATCTGTAAACCAACTAATGAAGGTATTTCCTTCAATTCTTCTGGTATAGAGATCAAGCTACGGCAATAGCATATTTCCAACTCTGTAAGAGCATTGCAAGATGATAGCCCTGTCGGTAGATGCTCTAATCCACAAGAATCAAATCTTAACAGTTGAAGAGAGGTAAGGCCAAATAGACTTGGAATAAACTTCAGATTGTTACAGTGCCACAAAGATAAATCTTTTAGACATGTGGACGTTGATAGGCTATCTCCTATGCTGTTCAACTGCAAGCAATAATGAATCTTGAGTTTCTGAAGCAATGATAATCCATTTAATGCAACACTTTCCAACTTATGACAACGGTTGATGACTAATTCTTTAACGGATGCTGCAAATGCTCCATCAGATATGGTTCTCAATTCATAACATTTTGAAATAAGAAGCATCCGAAGAGATGAAAATCCGGTCATTACTGGAATACTTTCTAACTTCTTGCACCTTATAATTCTCAACTCCACCAAGTTCTTGAGCAAAAACAGATCATACTTCATGACATTCTTCAACATCCATGATGGCAAGTTCTTACCTCCATAACCAGAAATTTCTAGTACTTGCAGATTTGAGTGTGGTTGGAGGCCTTCCAAAACATCTTCATCCTGACTGCTATCTTTCTCCCAACCTAGTCTCAACTCAAAAATTGTCTTCTCATGTAGTTTTGCTCTCATGGCTTCTAATCTGTCCTCAACATGCTCAAGATTACAGATTTTTAAACTTCCTTTGAGCCCTCTCAAGCTGCCCAATTCTTCAATTTTGCATCCTTTTGTTGCACCTACAAAGAACATTGGCAATGTTTGAAGAGATGTTAGTCTCCCAATGTTTGCAGGCATTTGCTCTTCATCACTAAAATATATATGCCTCAAGTTGATTAAACTTCCTATTCCTTCAGGTGGCATTTTTAAAGATCTGCAAGTCATGAATTTAAATGTTTGTAAATTGTATAGCTTTGTGATGAACTTTGGCAGGTCTGTTATTCGAGTTCTTGAAATGTCTAGATATTTCAAACTCTTTATGTTGTCAAAACATGGTGGCAATTCTTCAGTATTGACAGCATCAACAAAACTTAGAACTCTTAAACTTTTAAGATCCCCCTGTATACCACTGGAAACACCATCCTTTAAAAACAAGGAGTGTAGCTTTGGAGCAACATCTCTTAAAGTTGTTGGCAGTGTAACCCCACTAAAGATGAGATTCAAATTTCGAACATTAGAAATATTGCTCCTAGAAAGAGTCTTCCAAATCACTGTCTCAGATTTTGAAATTAATTGGGCAAAATCATGAATCAAATCATGCATTTTGCAACCAATATTAACACTTTCCAATGCATCTCTTCGTTCCTCCTGAAATAAAGAAAATGATAATAAGTCATTAATATACTTATTACCAATATCCTCCATTGTCAGAGGACTTTCTTCAGGTGATTGAAGAAATCCCTTAGCCATCCAAAGCTGAATCAACATCTCCCTTTCCATAAAAAAATCTTTTGGAAAAACAGAACAGAATGCAAAACATTGCTTCAAGGCAGGCTTTGACAATCGATCAAAACTCAACTCTATTACACGCATGATTCCATTATCAAGTTCTAGTGGACCCAGTGCCTCAATCTTGCTTTTAAATGACGACCACTCAATTCTATCCAGCTTTTCTGTGCACAATGTACCTCCTATAACACTTGCAACTAATGGCAGACCTCCACATAATTGCGCAATATCCAATCCGATTTTCTCCAATTCTGAGGGTATAGAAGCAGAAGCATCTCCAAATACTCTCTTGCTGATAATAGACCAGCAATCAGCATCTGATAGTTTCCCAAGACGGTGCATGTGTTCATGATGCATTCTCATTTTCAATGCAACCTTTTCATCTCGAGTTGTCACGATAACTCTATTCCTTGAGTTTTTACATATCCCAAGCAAACAGCTTCTCAAGTCTTCAAACTTCCCATGACTCTCTTCATCCCACACACCATCCAATATGAGAAGAAAGTTGTTCTCCTCCATGGCTTCTCTTATTTTTTGAATCAAAGTATCTTTGTTTTTCACTGCACCACCAGCATTCCCAGTAAGAGACTCCAACATTTCTGTTAAAATCCTCTCTACATAAAAATCGTCCAACACACAAACCCACATTATTTTGCCAAAATAGTTTTTGATTTGCTCATCATTACGCACAGCTTGTGCTAAAGTGGTTTTGCCGAGACCCGGCATACCCACTATTGACAAAACACAAAGGCGTGATTCATCAGATGAGTCAATTAACAGTTGCACTATTTTGGAGACATCATCCTCTCTCCCTACAACCTCCGATAAATCACCAATGGTGGAATGGGTTTGTGGGTTTCTTCTATGTTCAGAAACCACCCCGCTAGCAGTAGCAAATCTAATTTGGAGTCCAAAGCCTCTGGCCTCATTGTTAATAGCATCCACTGTTGCAATAATATTCTTAATCTTCCCCGCAATCTTTCTATGAAATAGTAGGGGATTGGAGGTGAGCAAATTACGCACCTTTTTCATCTTCTGGTCTTTAGTCTCCACCTTGCACTTCACACTTTCGTAAGAAACCTCATCCAGCACATCATCGGCCTCATAAACCACGTCCCTGAGCTTCTCAAGCCAGAGCTTCACAGCAGGGCTGCTGATCTGTCTTTCTTCAGCATCTTTTAGCACAGCCTGGACCATGATCAATTTGTTTTGAAGCGATGCAAGCTCCTTCTTCCAGCCGACAGCAAGGCTGATTTGCTCAGCAGCAGTGGAAATCAACTTGGAAACTGTGGTATTGATGATAGGACTCAGGAGAAGGTCAGCCCATTGCGGATCCATATCTTGAAGAAAAGAAATGATCGGTGTTTGAAGACTCCGTGTAGTAAAGAAGTAAGGAAGATGTGTTTGGCAGTGTAAATGATGGATTTGGTAAAAGTATTACGAATAGATGTGGCTTTTACAATGGTGTTTGTTTTTTCTCAAATTAGCAAAACCATAATTTATTAATAATAAAATAAAAGAGTAATGGTTTCAATTTACAAAAAGCTTCAGCTCCGAACGCGAACATACAAGATGAATTAAAACTTTATTAAGTGGCAATGGTTTTCTGTTACGTAAAAATCTTTTGTAACGAGGTTTGGGACAAAAAGACAAAGGAAAAGCTTTATCTTTTATGATTTGTTTCATGGTTTGATGGTTTAATGATTAAAAATTAAAAATTTAAATTTTAAAATTTTAATATCAAATTTTATGTTAGATAAAGAGAAATTAAAAAAAAAAAGAGATTTATTTTTTATATAATTTATCATTATCATGTCTAATAGAATATATGTTAAATTGTATTAAATATATTTTTAATAAATTTATATAAAAATATAAAAGTTAATTTTAAAATTATTAATTATTGTAATTAAAATTATTTGAGTGATATTAATGATGAAAATAATATTTATTTTTTATATTTTTTTAATAAAAATTTATAATAAAAAATGTAATTAATATAAGCTTGACTTGTTCCTTATCATTTATCATTAAACATAATTTTAGATAGAAACTTCGTTTGGTAATACTTTTAAGTGTTTTAATTTTTATATTTTTTTATTATTTTAAAAATATATAAAATATTAATTAAAATAAATATTAAATATATTTAATATATTTTCAAGATATTAAAAAATTAAAACACCTACAAATACAATTACAACAAGCCATCCCTCTCAAAGCAAGGCAGAATCTTTACCAATACCAAAACCGAAAAAGAAAGAGAAGGAAAGAAAAAGCCAAAGAAGGAAAGAAAAGTAAATCCGTTGATCATTCCAATCTTGCACATTTGTCTTTGCTGATTTATTTTCAAAGGATGTTGCTGTGGCTGATAAAAAACAAAAATATTATTTTATATGAAGCATTATGATTCACAATCACCATCGATTAATAGTGACATTTTTCTGTCGGCCACAACTTTGATGGCAGCATCAATTTTTTTTTTAATGTAATAAATATATATATTTTTTTATTAAAAAAATTAAAAAAAATTTTAATTTTAATTTATTAATTATTTATTAAATTTATTTATTTAATAATAATATTAAAATTAATATTAATTTTTATATTTTTTTATAAAAAGATGTATATAAAAGGTAATACCAAGAAGTTTCAATTAACAAAAAGATTCAGTGTAGCAAAGAAGAAAGAATAATGCTTCCAATTTACAAAAAGTTTCAGTTGCGAACCGAAGATACAAGAGGAAAGCTTTGTTAAGAGGTGGTGGTAAAAACTTAGTTTTAACTTTTTATTTCAATAAATTTATAAGTTTTAATTTTCACTTTATATTATCACATCTTTAATTTCTTATTTATATAAATTAAAAAAATAACTCATTACTTAATGTCAAGTTATAATATTTTATTAATTTTATTAGTTGATTATTAATTTTGTTAGTTGACTGTTAATACTATTAATTAATTATTAATATTTTGTTAAAGAAACTAATAAATAAATTTAAATTTCATATTTTTTAAAATGAGATACTAATAGACAACTAATAAAATATTAAATAAGAATTATTTTTTTTAATTCGTATAAATGAATAATTAAAAATATCATTATATAAAATAAATTATTAAAATTTATAAATTTATTAAGATAAAAGACTCAAAATAAATATTTACCAAAAGTAGTAGTTGTTTGTTGACATAAAAGTCTTTGTAATGAGGTTGGGGTCAAAAAATAGAGGAAAAGCTTTATCATTCATAGTTGGAAATACCAAAACCCAAAAAAAAAAAAAAAAAGTGAAAATGGAAAACCTTTGATTCCCAATCTTTCGCGTTTGTCTTTGATATTTTTTGGAAGAACATAGCCAGCCTTCGAACACAGTAAGTTAGGCATTTATTCAATATTAAGTGCCCCACCAACAGAACCATGTGATGGCCCTCTTTGATGATTTATTTTGGTTAAAACATGAATACCATAGCATGTATTTTCTGCACTGTTACTGAAAGAATAAACACATGCACAAATAGACACATACACAAAATCGCTGCACTACAGCGCCTACATGCCACCACTGTAACCAATAGGTTCCATCTGGTTATAATAAATGTAATGTAATATATATATTTAATGCACTACTGCCTTGTCGTGTATCTCTATCCTTAGATATTTTCCTCTGCCTCGGATTCTTTTCTCTGTTGTCAATGTCATTGCCAGCCGTTTGCAAAACGTTAATGGAAATGCACAATTAAAGCAGTATGTCGCTGTGCGTGGGAATTATAGACATAAAGGTTGAGTGGATGGAAATGTACAATTATTGCCAGCATCGGGCGGTTGAGTGTCTGGAGCTCAGCTCCATGCCTCCATGCGAATGTTGAAGAAAAAATATGAATTTGTAAATGTTGAAGAAAAAATATGAAATTGCAGAAATAGTAAAAATGAATGGTTTGAGACGTGATCATTTTTTTTTTAAGGATTTAAAATTTTTTTATGATATAATAAAATTTAAATCTCTCTTTAAAATAGATGTAAAACTTTAATTTTATATAAAAATTTATAATATATCCATAAAGAAAGATATCATTTTATCAAAATATCTTTTGACTATTAAAATTATATTTAATTTTAGAGCATGACTTTTAAATTTGAATTTAATAAAATAAAT